CCCCGTTTCAAGCGGGCACCCAGGTATCCTGTCACCCTTCTTTAGTTATACAGTCAAAATGAGGTGTCTGTATCGCCATTTAGGCATTAACTGCCTCTTGAAGGTCAGGCCACTAGTATGCAGCTGGCTCAGCATTGGGTAGGAGCCTACTGCTTTGGGGTCAAGAATGTTAGCTGCTGTGTTGTGAAGTTTGCCTTTTGCTGTCCTGTAGTGGCTGCCATGGGAACTGCAAAGATTGGAGCAGTTTTCACCGTGCAAGTCTCCTGTCATTTTTAGATGCTTGGGACAAGCTGTCATAGATTCATAGATTGTTAGGGGCTGGAAGGGACCTCACAAGATCGTTGGGTCCAGCCCCCTGCACTAGGCAGGAAAGACAACTGTGGTCAGGTGACCCCAGCCAGGTGACTGTCCAGTCCCCTCTTGAAGATTTCCAGGGTAGGCAATTGCACCACCTCTGGAGGGAACTTATTCCACAGTCTGGACACCCTAACTGTGAAGAAGTTTTTCCTAGTGTTAAGCCTGAAATGGTCTTCCAGGCGTTTGTGGCCATTACGCCTGGTTTACCCCAAGGGTGCCCTGGTGAACAGTTGTTCGCCAAGCCCTTGATGTATTTCCTCTGATGTAGCAGTAAGCTGCTAACAAGTCCCCTCTCAGCCTTCTCTTTTTTAGGCTGAAGAGGCCCAAGTCCCTCAGCCTTTCCTCGTATGGCTTGCCTTGCAAGTCTCTGATCATATGGGCGGCTCTTCTCTGGACTCTCTCAAGCTTCTCCACATCCTTCTTGAAGTGCAGCACCCAGAACTGGACACAGTACTCCAGCTGTGGTCTCACCAGTGTCTAATGCTTGTTTTGCCTCGGATTTTCAAAGCAGCTCAAGGGATTTAGCCCCACTCCCTCCTTTGTGTTCAATTCACTGAATTGTGAATAGTTGTGGAATAAGGTACTGCTGAACACAAGTGAGGTTAGCACTTGTTAGGCTACTCCTAGGCAAGTCAGAGACCTCTGAAGCTAGGGCAAAATAGGGTTCAAGTGGACTTGGGTGACAGGCCTTGCCTACATAGCAGAGAACCTACTAGACTCCGGACTTGCACCCACATGCATATTACACCATCCTTCTTCCTAAACCAAAAGCAGTGGAGCCATGTTTGTACAGCACTGTTGGTGCACTGTCACCATAACTGAGAAGTACTCAATTAGTTTATCCAAAGCACCACACAGGCATGATTATATTCCCTGAGAAGTGGTGGAATCTCCATCCATGGAGGATTTTAAGACCCAGCTAGACAAAGCCTTGGCTGGGATGATCTAGTTGGGGATGGTCCTACTTTGAGCAGGGGGTCACTAGATCACATTCTGATGTCCCTCCCAACTCTCATTTTCTATGATTCCTCCCAGTTTAAGAAACAGCTCATCCAGAGCAGCACAATGCAGGACACCATCACTCTGCAGTGCAGGGGGTTTATAGGGTAGACACAGCCAAAGTCACTTAGACACTGCTGCAAACATGAGTCTCAGGGTAATAACTGGACGAAGGAGTGCAGGCCATATAAAACTGGGGAAGTTTCTGATTGGCTTTGGCATGGTCTAGGAGCAGAAAATGTTCTGAGATGTTCTGTGAGTTGACAGTTGCTAGCTTCCGGGTGATTATTACTCAACAGGAGTTGAAGACAATCACACTAAACAAGAAGGGATTTTTTTTTAAAACCATTTTTAATAATATTACACATAATACATTTTTACAGTAAATTTTAGACCACTCCTATATTCCCCCATTGATAGTACTGCAAAACATATCCCATTCTGTCTTTAGGTCAGACATTTATTCCTTTGACGAAATGTTCCAGCTCAGATACAAACTGTGGCTTTATAAAATGTGCGGCAAACAAGTCTCACCCAGCAAGTCAGCCAGTGCCTGAACTACATGGGTCTGGTACTCCTTGAGTGAACTTGGTTTCCTATATTTTCTCACAGGGCGGACTCCACAAGAAGTAAATGTTCCCTTCCTGCTAAAAACAGGATTGCAAAGACTCACTTGGTTGCTTAATTTTAGGCACTGTGATATACTGCTTTGGCTTTGCAGGGACTACTCACCATCCTCAGTGTCTTTGCAGGACCAAGACCTTGGAACCCCAAACCAAAGCAACAGCCATTAGCAGGAGCTTTGCCATGAAAATAACATTAACCTTATTGCTCAAACTATACAATAAGGACCCATGATTAAAGCTACTTAAGTGGGAAGCCTCACATTTTTGGTGTCCAACAGATGAAGTCCTGACCCTCACAGTTGCCATTGACTTTGCCTGGAGCAGTGGGGACTCGCATAGTGACCAAGAAAAAATCAGGCCCTAGGTGTTTCAGTCTGGGTGCTCAAAATGTTTGGTTCCTTTTTGAAACATTGACCTTGACCGTTTCATCCTTATACCTATGTGAATATTTAGTCTTTTGTAGAATGGCTTTCCGTGAGCCTTTGCGTATGAAATATTTCAAAGATCAGTTTCTTGAAGGGACTCAACACAACCTCTAACTTTTGTGCCCAAAGGTGCAAAATTACAGGTGCAAATAAAAGGTTTTGGGCAGCTACTCACCTGTGCCCAGGAACCATGAAGTCTGGCATTTTCAAAGGACCAGAGGGCATCTAGTTGTTCAGATAATACTGAAAGTCCCTAAAATTCAAATACCCAATTCCTTCTGGTTCCTTGAAAACCCTGGCTCAAACTACTTTGGATCACACTCTCAGAAAAGGTTCCCTACAGTAGGTTCACTATTCTAGTCAGATGTTGGCTTCCAGGAGAAGACTGAGATATACTCCTTGAATCTCAATTTCAAAACGTCTGTAATATGCCACGTATTTCTTACTCTAAATTCTGCTGACAGAACCACAGTCACACAGATGGGCTGCACAAACTGGGCAACATAAAACCAAGCCAGCACAAAACCAAGCCCCCAAAACCATAAAACCATATCAGAACATGTGCTACATGGGCTGGAGGTCATTGTATTGTATGACGGAAGCCATCAAAGGAGTGTATTAAAGTGTCAGTGTCTTATTGCTACATCATATGGAGAATATGATGCACCCTGAAGTTCTGGCCCTTCACTGAGACCTTTACTGTGTACAGAGATCTTTTGACTTGGGTGAGACTCCATACAAGTGGACCTTCCACCAGGGTTACAAAGCTGAAGTCCTAGTGTTGGTCCTGGATGAGGTAGCTGTTGGCTGGTTGCACTGGACTGAATGAAGCTGTCAGTGATCTTGGCTTTTATTTCCTCTGATTTCTTTCTCTTCTGATCAAGTAGATGGGGAGGGGCCACTGAGTCTGTGACATGCTAGATCTCTAGACAGTGACAGCTCACCTCATCACAGGGTATTGTTAAGGTGAGGTATCGGTAAACATCTGGTTAAGCCATGGACATCCAGTGTACGGCACATATGCTCAGTGACTTGGGCTTGATTCTGCTGTTGATTGGTGGGAAGGAGCTCAGCTCTGGTTAAGACTGGTGGATCTGGGCCACAAACTGGAGGGGTTTGGGTTTTTCAGAGCATTAGTAATCAGATTTAGGTGGGAGAGCTGCAACCTCCATTCCAGTTCAGTGGCTGGCTGTGGGACACAGACTCTTCTTTGCTTCCTGATGGCAGGGAGGAAGAACTCTTTCCTGTGTCAGAGCTTCAGTGTTCCTTTGACTCATGAGGTTGTTTTCTAGGTCTCATTTAATTTTCACAGTTCTGATAGGCTTTCAATGCCAGGGGTCGTCTTCTGTTTCTGGAGGAGTGCAACAGTCTAACACCCATGGCTGCTGGTTCACCACCAGCTCTGTGGTGAAGCAGTGCAGGCACTCAGCAGCTAGAGGGAAATACACTGTATTGAATTGCAACCAGACAGGTAATAAGAAAACTGCATTTATGGCTCCCTCAAGGGGAACTTCTTGTTGATTTAAAAAAAACCCCAAAAAACAGTAGCCAAAACAATTGATCACAATAGACAGTAAGTAGCAGCATGAGTAGAAACCTGGATTATTCTTCAGTGTCTGTTGGGAATGTATTTTTTTTTAAATGGCAAAGTCAAATGGAAGGGTTTGACTCTTTGCAATATATTCTGAGAGTGTATGTTCCCCTCCAGTGGTAGGCCACAGTTATTCAGAGCTCTGCCTCCTCTCTGAATTTACTGGCATTAGGAAGACCACAAGTGAATCCAACAACAATCCAAAGGGCAACAAGACCTATGTACATTAAATAATATTTTGGTATTACAGGCTTGCATGGTCCTGCAGTTTTGCTCACTTGGGATTTTATAGGCCAGTTTTTGAAGTAATCCAGTCCCGATAATAAGTCACTCGAGTGTAGACTCCGGGCTTGTTTGGTTTGGCACATTCATCTCCCCAGCTCACAATTCCCACAAGGTACCAGATGCCTCTAGAATCTGGAGTAACCAGTGGCCCACCAGAGTCACCCTGCAAGGTGAGAGAGAGAGAGAGAAAGGTGTAATTCAGCCAACAGGAACTGATAGCAAACTGGTGGATTTATCTGGATACTAGAGCAGCTGTCAAACCTAACCATTTGAATTCCATTAAGAGGAAAAGTAGCATTGCACTTGAGGACAAGCCTGCAGGTGGCTAAGTTATTTCTGGTATTTGCACACAACTTTGAGAGAAGAAAAGTACTACGTTCTCTAGCCTCAATGTACGAAGGATGGGCAGTGCCAATAAAGGGCATATATAATATGTCCTTCTGACCATTAGTGGTGTTGTCCTTTGGTGAAGTCCAAAAGACCCCATTTGCTGAATACAGGCAAGTCCCAGCTGTCTGTACCCACCCACTGCTGCCCTGGCAGCTTCTATATCATACAAACACAATGAGCACTATCAATGGCACTCACCAACACCTTAATGGGAGACAACCCAATTTCTATACACTAAAAAGAATTTTGACATGAAACCTAGGAATCCATTAAAATCCAGTTTTTAAATGAATGCCTTAATTTTCAAACCTGGCTATACAAAATTAGTCATTTACATGTAGGCCTTGTTGTGGAATTGACCTGTTTTTCAGATCTATGCTAAATGTCCATAAACCCCAACGGGGCAATAGGGTGACCAGGTACCCAGTAGCTCTCTAAATCCAGCCACTTTTATTTTAGCCTCAATACAGATTTAGGACCAATGTCTTTCAAAGCTGTATGCTCCTAAATCCAGGTCCTATGTTCTTACCTAGCCAAGTAAATATGCAGCTGGATTTGCAAGAGTGCCAGCACCCAACCAACTCCCACTGACTTTTAGAGGGGCAAGTGGATGATCAGGTGCCCTGAGTAAGGGCTAGGAACCTAAATTTAGGCACACAGCTTTGATAATTTAACCTCAAGCCCTTTTGCCCATGGACTTTCTTCATAGGCTTTTGCATCTGTTAAAAAGGCATGATAATTCTTACTAAGATAGTTTATAGGAGCATCTAGAAAATTAAAAGTGCTAGGTATCATTTAATTGTCATAATTATCTGAACTGAGTACATTTAGGTGAAATAAAATATATCTTCTCAAAGCAGTCAACCAGTCTGCAGAGTTCACTGCTGCAGACAGTCTGAGAAGGTCAAGTGCTTTAGCTGGAGGTATGAAAGGATTGGGGGTGTGTACAGAAGATGCTTTTTTGCCATTTGAAGTGCTTTATTGCCATGACTTAACAGGAGTGCATGGCTTTGCAGAACTTTAAAAATGGGTACAGCACTTTAAATCAACCCTTGTTAAATGATATATTAAATTTGAAGTGCTATATTTTACAGCACTTCAGCAATCTACAGCACGTTAAATAATTTCTGTATGCTGGTCAAATTTCTGACCATTGGAGAAGCCCCAGGAGGCTGTGAAGTGGCCCCTGCCTCCTAGCCTGAAAAGTGCAGGGAGGCTTAGAGCTCCTCCCTCCCCCACCAAACACTGTACTTCTGTCATGTTTAGGAGTGCTTAACTTAATAGTGCTATAAAAAGTGCTCTAAATTACAGTGCTGTAAAATGTGCATGGAGCACTTCTGTGATTTTATGACTAGCAGTAAAATTTGTTGCTATGCATGCTTTAAAGATGGTAAACTCTTCTCATCTCAAGTTTGATCACCTGCAATGGCCAGGAACAAATGGTTTCTCAGTTATGGTATTATCAGATCAGATGGCATATAATGAGTGAAGCTGAGGGAATTCAGGATTTTCTTATGCAATTACAAACTTACTATATATTAGAGAGTAAATTACTTGAGCTAGCTGCATCCAGAACCCCTTTGTAAGATCAAACTGTTCAGTGAATGAAATGCACCTTTAGTGAACTTTTACACAGACAATATGCATACACACAGTTTTCCATGTATTGATTATTGCAATTTTTCCTAAGTTGTTAAACTGTTCTTTCTCTTTTAGTCACCATCACTAGCACTTATTCTACATGCCCCACAGGTTGGTGGCATGTTCTGTGTTCCTATATCTGAATGGTTCAAATAATTGACTTTCTACTGTACATTTTGTAGACTGAAAGTCCTTTGGGATGGGGCAGGGTTCAGTGTGTGTGTGTGTGTGTGTGTGTGTGTGTGTGTGTGTGTGTGTGTGGTGCGTGACCCAACAGGGCCATCTCTTGTCTGGGGCCGTGGATACCTCCATAGTGCCAATACCATAATACTAATAAAGTGATGTGCCAAAGCACTGAAGCATTAGCTTAACTGCTCCCATTTAAATCAGAGAGATGGTTACTGCCAACTCCAATGGGAGCAAAGTTAGGGCAGCACTAATATTCTTTCCCCCTGTATGCATACAGAGCTAACAGCTCGAGCTGATCCAGCGCGGGTGCTTCTACCCCATCACATAATGCATCCCAAGGAGAAAGACCACAGGAAAGTGATCAACAATGTTGCTCAGGCATGAAGAACAATGACTCCACTAAGTCATAGGCCTTTTTGCTGTGGCGGATGGGAAAGTCTTTAAGTATCTTCAGTAGATTATATCTATGCATGTCCATCTCAGACTCATGCCTAGGAAACTCTCTTTCACATCACACCTTCAGATATACCAACTCTTTCTCTCATATTACATATAAATATCACGCAGAGAGCCAGATCCTCAGCTGGATAAAATCAGTATAAGATCATGATAAGTCAAGAGAGTTATGCTAGTTTACACTGCTAAGAATTTGCTGCGTATCATTTTGTTTGCAACTGTCTGAGATATGTCCCATTTCTTTACAGTGGCACACGGCCTCTGATGTGGTCTCTTACTTATATCTTAACATCATCCCTGATCTCCACAACTAGGAGCTTATTCTGATTATTACCTTTGGAGAAGTAACCATTACTTACTCTAAAATTAACTCTTAAAAGCCTCCCCCTTCAGCCCACCTCCTGTCCCTAGCATTCAGGGTTCTGTGAATCAGTACTATGAGCTAGATCTGGATTTGTTTCATAGTTTCATAGTAGTAGTTGGTAGGGTCAGAAGGGACCTGAGCAGATCATCAAGTCCAACCCCCTGCCATGGGCAGGAAAGAGTACTGAGATCAACCTGGCAAGGTGTTCATCCAGCCTTCTCTTAAAGACCCCCAGGGTAGGAGCCAGCACCACTTCTCTTGGAAGTTGGTTCCAGATCCTAGCTGCCCTGACAGTGAAGTATCCTGATATCTAGCCTGAATCTGCCCTCTGCCAGCTTGTGACCATTATTTCTAGTCACTCCTGGCAATGCTTGGGGGAACAGGGACACTTCCAATGCCTGCTGGTCCCCCCTGACTAGTTTGTAAACAGCCAATAGATGCCCCCTCAGCCTTATCTTGTGGAGGCTGAACAGGTTCAGGTCCCATAGCATCAATAATGACTCCAAGATCCTTTTCTGCCTCTGCACTGATGAGAAGGGAGTTCCCCAGCCTGTAGGTATGCTGCTGGTTCTTCCCCCCAGGTGCAGTACCTTGCACTTGTCAGTGTTGAAACCCATCCTGTTCTCATCCGCCCACCCCTGTAACCTGTCTAGCTCCGGTTGCAGCCTATTCTTCCCTTCTAGTGTGCCCACTTCCCCCCACATCTTAGTGTCGTCTGCAAATTTGAACAGGGTGCTTTCTACCCCCTCGTCCAAGTTGCTGGTGAAGATGTTGATGAGGACCGAGCCCTGTGGAACCCCACTGCCCACATCCCTCCAGGTCGAATAAGACCCGTCCACCACCACTCTCTGGGTGTGGCCCTCCAGCCAGTTAGTGACCCATTTGACTGTGTAGGTGTCGACACCACTGTCCCCTAGTTTTTTAATGAGAATGGAGTGAGAGACAGTGTCGAAGGCCTTCCTAAAGTCCAGAAAGACTACATCCACTGCTACACCTTCATCTAAGGATTTTGTGACCTGGATTTTGTTAGAGGGATCCTATTAAAATGTGTATATTTGGAGAAGATTGGAAACAGGGAACGCCATTAATTCAGATACACTCATCAGTTCTCCCTCAGACTAGTTCTCAATGCTGTGATAAGACTTACCTGACATGCATCTATTTTCCCCTCCAAGTATCCTGCACACACCATCCCAGGTGTGATGGCTCCATTGTACACTTCCTCGCGGTTGCAGATGTTAGTGCCAATGATTTTCACTTCTGCTTGCCGTAGTTGATTAACGCTTTGACCTGCCATGAAAAAGTGGCTTCAGAACTTACAATTGGAATATATTAGCTAAGGGAAATGAGAAACAAGTAGCCAGGCTCTCAAAAAAACCTCATTGGCCATATAGGTACCTAGGTGGGGTGGTACCCCATTGATGCTATGGGAAGATCATAACTTTTTCTTTTTGCTTCCCCATCTTCCACCTCCAACAAGATGCCATAGGTAAACCCTCCCCATTACTTTTTTAGCTTCACTTATTTAACATTAAGAGAGCAAAGGGATTTCTTGTGCTTGTTAATGGTGGAGGTTTCAGTTAACTTCATTAACTGTAGGAAGTTAATGAATATTAGTGACATCCTCAGGAAGGTTCAAAGAGTCAATCAGAACATGAGCTTGGACAATCTAAGTACACAGCAAGAGACTAGCACTGAAATGCAGGTTTGGCCTCCAGTAGAGCCAGATTCATAGACACACTCTTAGGTTTAAACATGTGCTTAAGTCCCATTGACATCAACATAACTTCAAATTAAGCATGTGCTTCTGTGCTAAATTGGGTCCTGAATTTAGCTGAATTGCAACCAGACAGAAATTAAAGGAAGAAAACATCTATGGTAAGTCAACATACAGTTTACAGACACTAGGCTGTCAAGCGCTGATACCAAATATGAATGCAAAAGAAAAAGCAAAGAATAGAGGTCAACAGCTCAGGAATTAATGAAATCTGCTCAATCATTGTAACAGCAGAAGGAGCAATGAGCCAGAGTCCTTTCTTGTTCCTGTACAAGCAGTCTGCAGGTCTATCATGTTCTGAACCATGCTGAAAAGCCAGATAAAATGTCATGTCCTGGGATGAGCCACTGATGTATTATGTTCAAATATTAAGCTTTTCTGTCACATCAACAGAAGGAGACAGAATTTAGGAGGGAGGTAGGTAGCTATGTCAACCTAAAGTCAGGCAGAAAGTAGAGTAATTTTGCACCTTCTAACTAACTAAAGCAGAGATGTATAGCATATATTTCTTAAGCAGTGGGTTTTTGAAGATATCACCAGGCAGCACCTGAAGAAGTAAACCTGATGATTACAAAAGCTTATGCTATGCATTTCTGCTTTAGTCAGTCTAGAAGGTGCAAATCTAACCTGTCTTCTGACAGAATTTAAGGCCAGACAGGACAATTATGATGAGTGTCTGACCCTTTGTGTTGATCAGGCCATAGATTTCTACCTGATGGTCCCTGCATGGAAAGGAATAATTCTGTCCTACCAAAGAAATAACTACCATAGATACAAGAGTTAATGGTTGAGCTGAAACATCCCATTCAGAAAGACATCCCACCCTGATTGAAAAAAAATTGCAGATGATCAATTTACCATTTCTCCTGGTGGACTGCCTTAGTGGCTAATGAGCTACCAGGCCGATCAAATAAATAATGGTTTCATTTTGATGAGTGACTGAAAATGAACTAAAAATGTTAAACAGACAATGGGAGTTTTCTTTGGAAGGCAGGGAGACAGACACTCACCATCATCCCTCAAAGCTCCCCATCCTGTGACAAAACAGCTGGTGTTCTCTGGAAACACCTGCAATGGTTCTGGGAGGCAGACACTGTGTATTTCACTTGTGAAGGGCAGAGGAGTGGCGAGCTTCATGACAGCAATGTCATACTCGTGGTTATAAAGATAATCAGCATATTGTTCATGAACAATAATGCTCTGGATGGCTCTTCTCTCTTTAGGAGGTCTTCTCACAGTCCCAAAGCTGGCTGTCCACACACGAGGGTCCTTCACTCTAAGAAAGATTTGAGGTTAAGCTGGCAACATGCAAAGCCATATTTTCAAAAGAGCTCAGCTCCCAGGCAGGTGCCTAAATGCCACGATCAAGTGCATCAGGGAAATGCCCAGAGCAGAGAGGATGGCTAGAGCACTGCAGTGATCCAGGACACACCTAGGGAGAAGTTACCAGCTGCTGTAAGGTCAGAACAGACCTGGGACTCTCTGGCCAGCACTGAGTGCTGAACTGGTACCCAGCAGCCCGAGTTCTGGAGGGACAGAAAAATAAAATATAGCCTTTGCCTTTGACCACCCATTTTGGGGGCCCCCACCCCCAAGTCCAAAGCAACCAGATCAGAAGGTCAGGACCCCGGAACATTTAACAGTCCAGTTTTGGTTCCAAATATCACAGGATCTAAGGAGTGAGACTGTGCATGGTTCCTTGTGGCCATATCTCTCAGAGCTGGGGACTTACCCTCTGAAGCAGTGCGCTGCTGTTACAAGCCATGTGTTGCTGATGATTGATGCGCCACAGCGATGCATGCCATTCAGCTGAATGCTGGCCTGCCATGGCCACTCCCCAGCCTGGGCAAGCCGGCCCCCTGTTATTCTTGCTACTCCCACAGATGACACCATCTGCATTCGTGTCCCGCAGCCTGCCAAAGAAAGAGTTGGCCTAACTTCTCCAAGTCAGAAAAAAACAAGCATTTCCTTTTTGAAGGCCCCCAACATGGTACACAGAAATGGGTGCTGGCATTTTGTTATATTACGGTCCTTATAAAAGAACAAATTTCGGATAAACAAAAGTTTAGGAAAAATACCACAACACTTGGCATTCAACCAAAGTCACACAGGAAGAGACCTTATATGCTCACATGCACACCACTCTGTAGCAAACATCATGGGCTAAAAAGGGCCCTGGCATCAGCAGTGTCCTAGGATTCAAAGCCTGACTTTCCCCTTGGAGATTGCTGGCACCAAGAGTGGAAGTGTCATTAACAATGTTTAGATGCTGCACTGTCATTCCACTGCTGGTAGAAAACCCTCCAGGAAACAGGGAGACCTGGAATGAACAATGACAATTGGGCCTATTCCCTGCTGTTGCCAGGGGAGTATGTCTATCACTGTGAGAAGGAATGAGCCTGAGTTCAGCAGAAGCTTCATCAGTTGCTTCTTCAAGTGGGTGCCTGTCAGGTGCTAAGGAGGCTGCTGGAGGTGAGGTCACAGAGAGGACCAGAGTCCATGCTAGAGGCAAAGAGGACTTCAGCACATTAGCACCTTCCAGGGACACCAGCATCTTAGGAGCTCTGGCCTGAGTAAGTAGAATCAAGGCCAGCATGAACTGTGCAAACACAGACCTTCATGGCTGGGCTTTCAGTGGAGTTCAGCTCCCATTTTAAGCAACTAAATGAAGATGATGGATTTTGGAGCACCCACTGGGATCCATGAGAACTGTGAGAGCTGCTAGCAACAGAGCTCTGGTGAAAAGGCAGCCTTCAGCATCTGCCTGGGACACAGAACCAAGATTGACTCAAAGCCAAAGCCTTCTGTCATTCTTACGGGGACATTTAGAAGAGGAGCTCAGGGACTCCAGACTTGTTTTCTCTCACTAGATGATGATGGTTTGTGATAACATCCATGGAGCAAATCTTGTAATTGCCTGCAGATCTGAGGCAGCCAGGTCTGTCCAGGATGGATACTGTCCAGTCACACTTGGAACACTTCTCAAAAGTCAGAGTATAACATTTGTCAATGCAGCAGTGCTCCACAACATATCAGACAGAGCCAGATGGGAACCAAGGCATCCTGGATGCCATAGCTAAGAGCTGAAAGATTTCAGTGATTTAGTGATGCTGTTGTCTGTCAAAATCAGTGTAAAAATGAAAGTCTGCGGATGATGGGAGATAGACCCTCCCTCCGCTGGCTGACCAACATACTTGGTAACTGTTGCCAAAAACCCCACCAGGAAATAAGACAAATTAGGTGCATGTAGAAAAGAAGGTGAATATACAGCTGCTGTAGCCAGTTTCAGCTACCCAAGGGAGTACTGTCATAGGCCAATACAGGCATCTGGAGCAGCAAGGAACAGCTGCATTCCACTGTAAGGATAAAATTGGATCATCCAAGGTCTGGGTAGGCAGGGAGATGGGTTCTGACTGCTTTTGAGAAAGACTATGCATGCAATTCCAATTTTGGCATTCAAGACATACCAGCAGGTGGCATGTGCCTCTATATATTTGTATAGGCATGACAAAAACCCTTCTCCCTCTCCCTCCTCACCTAAGTATGGTATTTTTGGTATTTTTGCCTAAATGGAAGCTAAAAATCACTGAATCAGTGCACAGCAGCCTTCAATGAGCTTTTTATCAAGCCAACACCCTACCTACAAAACAAGAACAAAACAAATTGAGGGGAAACCCTTTACAACCCAGCAGAGAAATATACAAGCAAGAAGCCAAGTAACCAGGCACCACCTCTCATCTCAGCCAAATGGGTAGGGAGTCACTGGCCATTTCAGCTTTAGTGTAGCATGTTCAGTAGTGACATGACCTAGCAGCTTAGGCAGGAAGACAGGCAAATTTAGGCAGGTGACATGGTCCTGAGCAATTTTGGTATAAATATAATCAAGTACGTAGAGTGTTGGCTTGATAAAAAAGCTCATTGAGGCTGCTGTGCACTGATTCAGTGAGTTTTAGCTTCCATTTAGGCAAAAATACCATAAATTACAAGTGAATACAGAGGTACATTTCTTATACAAGAAATCAGGCAATTGAATTCTTAAGTCCTTGAGTCACTGGATACGAATGATGCAGGTTACATCTGTCACCAAAAGAGGTCATGATCTTCCTTCCCATGAGTATTAAAGCCTTGAATGTGCTTGGATACCATTATTAAACTCTGTACTATGACTGCATCTTCAAATAATAGGGCTTGGGGGCACTAATAATATCAGCTTCAAAGGACTTTTGAGGTATGTTCTTATTGCAATTGGTATTATGCAATGCCTAGAAGTCCAACCTCAGACTGGGGCCCAGCTACGCAAATACAAAGGGAAAGACAATCTCTGCCCTGCAGTTTTCAGCTCGTATTAGAGACACAGGCAAAGTGTAGGATAAAACCAGTATATATAGTTATCCACATTCAACTAAGAAAGAGAGAACAGCTAATATATCAATCTAGCAGAGACCTAATCATACAATTATCTTTTAAAGTTGAGATGTAAGATCCATGGTGTGCACCCTTGAAAGCTTGCCTCTACCTTTTTGTAAAGAGTATGGGTCATTCACTAAAGCTGAGGTGAGCTCCAGTGTGGACAATGACTACATGCCAGCCTCACCCCACAATCTCAGTGTAGAATCCTGTTAGCGATGCAAAGCCAGCACAGCTCTGAGAAAGTAAACTGGATACTTTTCAGACTTGTGCATCATCCACAGCACAGTCACTCTGAAAATCATCTTTCTCTTAGCACCCTAAGCACATCAAGAAATCATCAAGACCCAATAACTGTGGAACCCCACAATGCCACATCCCCCAGCATCATTAAGAAATCACTTGTACTTACAGTTGTTGAGCAGGTTTTCACCACTTTCCCTTTTGACTCCTGAAATAAAAACAAAATGGGACATGGTTAGCATCTGCTTCTGGCCACAGTGGATTTCCTTTCAGTCCTGTCATGCATAAATAAACTCTGGTTGGATGCATCACAGAGTTCACAGATATGCAGTGATTAATTCTGGGGGGCTCGGGGGCACTGCTTACACATACACAGATATTTCCCCAGACTGGTCTAACTATCTTCATATTTGGTCTCTAACAGAACTAATAACAAGATACATTCATTTGTATTGCTTATATATTTGTGACATTGTTTAATATATGTTTTAGAGCCTGCATGATTAGAAAGCCATTAGTTGGTTTATTGGTAAGAGTAACCTGCTTGATTAGTCAATAGCCAGTGTCTGTACCCTGCTTGCAGTTAAGAAGCCTTGCTGAGAGGCTTTAAGAGATTTTAAACCCAAATGATAGCTGAGTGCATTACAAAGGACAAAACCATTGGCAGGGAAAGAGAGGTCATGCAGAAACTAATGATATTTCTTACCCCGTTTAATAGACTAAAAGAATAGCAGAGAAAATATTATTAGAATCTTATTTTCTGAAATAAGAAACCATATGTGAGGCGATATATATATATATATTTTGCTGTCTTCTTTGACTATAACAATGAACAAGAAATTATAATGGGTTCCATCCCCAATAGGCCATTATGGCGCCCTCTAGCAGCCTCTTGAAGGACTATTCTTTACTCTAGTTCACCAGGGCAATGCCCGGTCTTTGCCTCCCACATCAGATGTTGATTAATATAACTTTGGGAAGCAACTCTCAGACTACCAAAGTGACTTCTCTCTGCCTTGTTCATCGTTGGGACACCTCTGTCTGGCCCAATCTTTGACAAACTCTGATTATTTGCAAGGAAAGAAAGAAAATCATATGCAAAGGATGTAAATATTTCTGTCCTTCTTGACTAGACTAGGAGAGATAAGGCAGGATTCAGAACTGGGGGATTTATGTAGAAAGCTGAGAGGAATGTTGTACATTCATCAGATCAAGTCAGAGAAGACTCCCCAAGTCTGAGGGTAGAGAAGGGACACCCGGTAGACAAGCTGGGGGAATCACCAGTGAATATCAAGAAAATATATTTCAGTAGGAGTGTCTACACTAGACACTTTACTGTGCACTAGACTAATGCACAACGCAGCAAAGTGTCACCGTCTACATGTGCACACCATTTGCTATGCAGTAAATCAGTCTATTGAGCAGTTAGCTACTACCTGTAAATATAGGTAGAAAACAACTGTGCAGTAGATACTGTACAGTAATGAACTTGTAGATGCTGACTGAGAGCAAATTTGCTCCCAGTCAGCCCCAACACCAGGGGGCCAGAGGGGATGGGGAACTCCCCAGGTCCTGGCAGTGCTTAGCCCCCAGCTCCCTACAGAAGCTGAGTAGTGCTGCAACAAGGTAGCCCTCTGCCCTCACCTGGGAGCTTCTGGGGCTCCTTCTCCCTCCTCCTGGGAGCTTCTGGGGCTCCTTCTCCCTCCTCCTGGGAGCTTCTGGGGCTCCTTCTGGCTGGGCAGAGATTTCCCTGAGCAGCTGGGGGCTGGCCAGGAGCTGTCCCCCAGAAGTAGGACAGCTCCTGGCCATGCTCCCAACTGCTCGGGTATTTCCCCAACCATCTGGGGGCTGACTGGGAGCTGGCCCAGAAGTGGGACAGCTCCCATCCAGTACCTCGCTGTGCAGAGAAGCCCCTCTGGGCACATGGCTTATACCCCTGTGCATGGGGCTGGGAAAGCTCTGCAGCGGCAGCTCTCTCCCTGCTTCATGCACATCAGGACCCCTCCCAATGTGCAGGGGGCAAGGAGACAGCTGCTGGTGCAGCCAGATGAGCTCTCCTAGTCCTGTACACATCAGGACCAGCCCCTTTGCTCTCTGACAGCCCCTGGACTAGCAGCCTGGGGGATCCCAGAGCTCCTGCTGGCTGCTTCAGAGAGCTAGAGCAGGGTAGGAGCAGCCTTATACTGAGCTGCTCCTGTTGGGAATTGATTTTTTCCCAATAGGGAGCATGTGTAGATGTGCTTCCAGGGAAGGCTTATTGTACAGTATTTTAGTGCACAGTAAGCCTTTATAGCATTAATAGCATGTGTATATGCACCCAGTAGCAAGAAGGACTACTGAAAATACTGTTCCAGGTGAGAAGGCAGCTGTCAGTGATTTCAGACATTATTTCTTTGTATTTTTCTTTCAAACTTAACAGGTTCTTTTTCTTCTTTTCTCACATGTTCTTCTGTCTAATGTGATAAATCTGTTGTGTTTTGAATGATTTCAAGGCAGCTGACAACTACAAGCATTCCTTTCCCACAGACATAGCAGGTCCCTAATATTTCACAAACTGGGGCTAAATGTCCAGTAAGTTCACAGGGTTTCCTCTACTGAGCTGCAAGGTCTGGTCAGTAACTAGGGAGACTGAGATTTTCTGGGGGTGAAGAGTTAGCCCAGGGCCAAAAGCTAGTCTGTACCTTGAAGATATGCAGCAGAACAGTGGGGGAAAATTAGGGGACAGGTGTCACCCTGACAGTTTGTCACAGGGTGTTGCTGGGCTTGTGGTACTAAAGCAGGATAGATAGATAGATAGATAGATAGATTAGTCTTTAAGGTGCAAATCTACCCTGCCTTCAGATCAACACAGTCAACTAGGTCTCTCTGCTACTGGTATGAAAACACAGCAGTGGTAATGCCTTACCACTGTAAGGCTAAACAGTTAGCAGCAGGCCATTTGGGAGCTCAGTCAGATACAGAAACAATACAGACCCTCAAGTAATCACTTATTTTGACTGGTCTTCAAGATTGGTCATGAATGGAGCATGTGCCTGATCAAAAGCAATTCCCCAAAGACAGCTACTGCCCAGAACTGGTACACAGAACTTGGCTGATGAGTTTGGCATAAAACCCTAAATGGATCTATTCAGATCAAATGAGGCTGGCAATTCTGCCAAAAGCACGTCTTTACAAACCTCTATCAACAGCTACCCATTTATTCCTTGTAGACACTTTACATTAGAATCATGACAAAGTAATGGAAAGGCACTGCTATTTACTCCCTTGCATATGCTGGAGAAGAGGGATAAGCGACTGCATAACAGGCAGCAAGTCTAACATTAACCAAACGATTTTTTCACATAGTGTATAATTAACTGGTGACATCAGCATGGCATCACAAAGACTGGAAGTTTAGAGGGATAGAGGAAAGAGTTAACCCAGTATATGGACAATGAGACAATCCATAGGTAAATTAAAGAGGGACAAGGGATATAAGCACTTCTCAATCAGGGTTTAACAAACTGCTAGAGCCTTGGGGTTAGGAAGGAGCCTCCCATAAAGGCAGATTGTTCCATAATGTGCCACACCCCTTTGGGGCAGCCGATATTGCTGGAGACAATGTGCCGCACTAGAAGCATGGTCCATGTGATACAGCGCAATAATTCTGATATTCCTTTAAACTGCTCAATATAGCCAGGATAATTACCTTATCATTACGCACATGTAGAACAGGACTGCCAAGAATTGAAAGTTGTCTGCAGCATTTTTCAGCCATAAAACTAGTCAAATTATGTCTCAGGAGTTGCAGTTTAAAAAAGTAATCATTGACTATAAGTGGACTGTTAAATTCTGACATGTCAATGCAATTAGTTATTTTAAAAACAGCCATGCTGGTGCCTCACCTAATCATTATAGAAGGAACATAATTGTCCTTGTAAGCAATTAGTCAAAAGGCTCCAGAGGGGAGCATGACCAACAAGCTCAAAAGATCTTGTGCAAGATCAGAGTGTAGACGCACTGGGTGGGGGACCCTGCCATCTGCTCTCCCAGTCGAGTTCTCAGCTTCTCCAGTCTGCAAAACAAGCTGTCCCAGGAGAGAACGGGAGGAAGGACCCCGAATAAGAAAAGAAAGTTACGGGGAACAGAATAAACAAGAGGGAGAGGGAACAAACGTAAAAGTTAAAACACGAAAAAACTGTTTACCTACAGCAGGAGCCACAGTGCAGTGGAAACAAGAAGAGAAGCCCGCGCAGCTCATTAGCCACGTCTTTATCCAGCTGAGGACGGCCGATGATGTCACCAGCAATCACCGGCTCGCGGGGACAAAAATGGCTGATGGTGGAGGAAAGAGGAGAGGGGGAATGGACCGGAGGAGCGTGTGGCTGCAGGACCCACTCCGGGAATCCCTCAGGAGGGAAGGAGCACTGGATGAGGAGCCAGAGGAGGCTCCTGATGCTGGTCTTAGCAGTGGCAGCAGGGAACAGGTCATCAGCACTGGAGACAAGCCAGAAGCAGCCCCTGCAATCTGCGAAGGCAGCAGCAACAGGGGGAGCAGAGAAGGATATATGAAGACCCACAACATAGCAGGTGGGAGTATTGGGAACAGCTGGGAGGAGAGGGAAGCGGCCCCATTGGGAAGGTCTCAGCAGGAGCAACAGAAGGGCTACGGAAAAGCAGGGCACCTACCCTGAACACAGAAAGTAGTCAGCCATACACAAAGGAACCACGAGACACCCGGACTGGGACGCTCCAGAAGGGAGAGAAGTGGGGCAGCACAGGGCTCATGGAAAGAGCTGAAAAGGGGAAAAGGACAACCCGAGCAGGAGGCTACGGGTATAGGATCCAAGCAGGGGTCATACCCTAGTCAGACCGTAGGAAACTAGATACCCGGTACCCGATTGTAAGGGACCAGGGAAGGGGGCTACCTAGGTTCCCAGTGAAATGGTAGACATGTTGTCTTGTGGTTTTCTTTTGTGTTTTTCTTTTGTTTCCCTGTGTGAAGGGGGTTGAGAGGCAGGACAGGCTTATATAAATAGAGTAATTGGTGCAGGGCCCGTAGAGCTTTTCATTGTGATTCAATCCCGAGGGCAGGAGCCCATTCTAGGCGAGTACAGGTTCCACAGCCAGGACCTTCAATCATAGAAGGCCCATGACGGAATAAGCGAATCAGCCTCCGGAGCTGATACTCAGGACGGGAAGAAACTCGAGAGGCCCCACAGCTACAGAAGGGGGACGTGGCCCAAGAAGACTGAGCGATCCATCGAGGTGGCGTAAGGTCGGGGTGTAGGGGCAGCAGAGCCCCACAAATGACCGTCGGGCAGACCGTGCACCGCAGAAGGACCCCAGGTAGTCAACCCTCCCACTGGGAACATTCAAAGTTGTGGCAGGAGAGATAGGGGAAGACTACTCCAGGAGTGAACAGCTACTCAGCAGTTTATGGGAGTCTGCAAGACGTACACCACCAAGGCTGCACGTGACCGGGTGTTCGAGGCCCAGCAGTCACACAAGCTTTTTTCCAAGGAGGGCCACAGGTAAATCCTTGTAAATGATGTCCTACTTTGCTCCAGAAATGTCAAACTTGATTAGCAGAGCCAAGAGAAGGAAGGAGAACCTGTTTGCAGAAAACCACTGACTGGGAAAAGCCCAGAAGGCAGCTAGCATGAAGTCTGACATAATGCCCCTCCATTGTCACAGCAATTCCTGAAGCTTCCACAAACCATCTCGTCTTTCTGTGGCTGCAGAGGGCAATGCTGATAATGCAGTCAGCCATATGCCACCTATGTGCATGCTACAGGTTAACCAGCCTTGATGTATCAGATAAGTCCTCTTTTACAGATGATTGTGCTTGGAGACAACAGAGTGACTGTACCTTGCTGATGGGCCAGAAGGTTTTTATGCCCTATTGGAGCACAGTGGCGGTAAGCAATCAGACATTGCAGGAGAACATTACAATCGAAGGGTGGGGACAGATGCCATTTGAAGTGTTTCAGAAAGGAAATGTTTCAGCTGTGGACAGATACATAGCCTCTGATTGCACTCATCCCCTGCTGGTGTCGTGCTCCCCAGCCCTCAGGTACCCTGCTGGTCAGTGCAGCTCTTAAGGTGACCTAAGTGTGACCCTTTTCCAGATATTCCTGCACCAATGTTCTTGAAGGATTAAAAGCAGGTGGCAGAATGCTTTGAAATTTAGGGACACTGAGACATCCTTTGCCAGTGTAAATGAGTGTAGTTGGGAATCTGGCCCATTGACTTGAATGGAGCTCCAGCTAGTGTAAATTGGCATCAATCTGATCGGCATGAGTTTGCCTCACTTCTAGTTACAGTGTCCAGGCTTTCAGCCAAGGAGGAGATCATAGCTACTCATGCTGTTATTTTGAGAAGAAGGAAGGAAGGAAGGAAGGAAGGAAGGAAGGAAGAACTCATATTTTGCACAGCCAAATGAAACATGCTTCCCCAAGAGAGGAAGAGTTTTAGGAACAATCATGGTGAAAATTAAGCCTCAGATACTTGCTTGTGAGTTTGAAACTAGACGGATCAATTTCCAAGGACCCAGTGTATGTTTTCATCTGCATATGCAGAACCTTGTTGACTCGCTCCTGGTTTCCTGCCTGGCTATCAGCTGAGACGAACTCAAACATCAACACAACCTGCGCCACCACTCCTGTAGGGTCTGGGCTGCAAAACGACAAGACAGAAAAGAAAGTAATTGACAGGTTTACCTTTTGGCCTTTGGTACCTACTTAGTTTTCATTATTTCCTCAAGTCCATATCCAAGGGCTGACAGCCTGATACATAATGGTGAAAGAAAGGATGAAAAAATTTCAGCAGGTAACAGATTTCATCTTCACTAACTCATACTAGCAAAACTGTTTGTGGGAGATCAGAAGAATCCTTCCATTAGCAAAGAAAGAAGCAAAGTATGGGGACAACCCCATGTGGTGCACCATTAGGTGCAACTCCATGTAAGCCATCATCAGTGGGTAACCAACAATGGCTGCAACAAGAGATCCATGACCAAACTTTTTAGCAAGGCCAGAAGCTCCTCATTAAGAAACCTTGGCCATCAATTAAAATACTTCATTCTGAGCCCTTTGAAATCATCAAATTATAGAAAATTAGGGTTGGAAAGACCTCAGGAGGCCATCTAGTCCATCCCTACCATCCACCCCCTCTCCCCCACTCAAAGCAGGACTATCTCCAACTAGATCAGTCCAGCCAGGGCTCTGTCAAAGTCGGACCATAAAAGCCTCGAAGGACGGAGATTTCATCACCTCTCTAGGCAACCCTTTCCAGTGCTTCACCACCCTCCTAGTGAGAAAGTTTTTTCCCAATATCCAACCTAAATTTCCCTTGCTGCAACTTGAAATGTCCAGCCTCCACCTCAAACACTTTGAAATAAAAATGTTTTTGGCATTCTTCCACCAGCCCAGTTTTTCCTTTTTTAGCTAACCTTATTAAAGTTTTGGCTCCATTAGAATCATGGGAGCTAGAGATGAGGAAAACCAGTTTCACCCAGATTGCCAAAAGATCTCATTGTCCAACAGCTTCAGTGTAGGCATCTATTTATTCACATGAGCCTTCTTTCTGTTCCCCCAGCACCACAGTATCCAAGCACAACACCATCTAATGTATTTATCCTTACAATATTCACTGGGGAGAGAATATGCTATGCCCCCTTTTTTACATAACAGGTACAGGGAGGGTAAATAGCAAGACTGGGAGCCTCTGGTGGAGCAGAGTGCCTAGATCTCCCAAGGTCCTAAACCAGTGCCTTCACTTCAAGAGAGCACCCTTCCTCTCAGAGGTCAGTACAGGGTAAAACTACCCTTTAATGCTGTTGTAGCACAGGGAACAGGTCAGCATTCAGAAACATAAGGCAAAGTTGCAATTCTCAACTCCACCTTAGAAGAAATAGAAGAAATCAAGTCTTCTGTAACCACAGCAACACAGAGGCAGAGCAACACAGAAACAAGGTCTCATCATCTTGCTATGCTCAGCATCATCCCGGAGTGAAAATTTAGCTACACATCCTATGTTGTTCGAGGGGAAGGAGGAGGTGGATGTTTCAGCCCATCTCTGCCTTTCATCTTACATACCTTAGACTGACCACCTGGGATGTGATGTACCTGTCCTTTAAAATGGAGGCTTCAAATGTCCTGGTAATCTGTTAAAGGGATAGAATGTGTTATACAAACGTATGCATAGTAATATCACATTTTCATTATGAGATGCTGGGTTTTAGGAGTAACCAGAATGAAAGGCAACTCAGCTCCTGTACTCCATCCATTTCTGAACATCCATTCTGGATTCACTGTGTTTTAAGCCCAAAGGAGTCATTAGATCATCTAGGCTGACATTTTATGCATCTCTGGTACCTTTACATTGTAAAGCATATTGACTAAAGCATAACGTCCAGAAAAGCAGCCAGACATGACTTGATAAGCCAAGTGATCTACCATTTCCCTTGGGAGTTCTTTGTTTTTGTCTGTTTTTCTTTTTCTTTCCATTGGATAATCACCTTCACTTTTTAAAAACGTGAACCTTATTTCTCATTTGAATTGTCAGGCTTCAGTTTCCAGCAATTGATTCTTGCTTGGCATTTCTCCATTTGATTAATGAGTCCTTTACTACTCAGCATTTCCTCCCTACAAAGGGACCCAATACTCTTTAATCAAGTCTCCTCTCAATCTTCTTTCTGGTAAGATGAACAGACTGGGGTCTAAGTCTCTTGCTCAGGAAAATGTTCTCCAGTTTTTTAATCATTCTGGTGACTGCTATACTCTATTCAACCTGCTCCAATCGTTCAACATTATCTTTAAAATCAGAGCACCAAACCACTACCTGAGTGCATGTCCATCTGGAGCCAGGTCAAAAGGGCAACGTTTCCAAAGAGCAGCAGCTCTTATGGTCTCTTTATTGTTACTTGTAGGCAAGTTGGGAACAATACGAAGTCACAAAACTTCTCCACCTTTACCATTGCATGAAGCAGTGTTAAAGCTTAAGCAGTTTCTCTACCTTAGTCTAGTCCCCAGATTGTCAACAAGTAAGAATTAGCACACAGCAACTTTTGAATGGGCTCTGAATGTGCCTGGGTCCACACCCTCATATTCTAGTAGTGATCTCACCAAGGCAGTGTGTGGAGTTAAAATCACCTCTATTATTATGACTATAAAAGTCAACCTTTTTTCCCTCTCCAGAAGAACAGTAAAAATTGCATTCTATGTGGGACTGACTTATCACAGTTCCCCAAAAATCCTGAATTTGTCCTTGCAGTTTTTTAATGCATGAAAATAAAAATAACAAGTCTGGGGGTGGGGGTGCAGATGCACGGGAGTGGGGGTTTTGAGGTTTTCTCTTAGTATTTTCTGTGCATTTAGCTCTCTGGGCCCCTTCCTTGATTACTTGACTCTGCTGTGGGAGTCTGTAAGGGAAACAGCACTTTGAGGGCTTTATCTATTAGACATCAACTCTTATTATTCAGAAAAAAAGTTGTTTTTCCTGAAATTCAACCTGAAAATGTGGGATAACTTGTAATCAGATCATTGCTATATTATATCACTGCAATATATAATGGAAACATTTAATGGCACCTCTGTTGAACCCCACTAGAAAACATTTTCATTCAATGATGATTCCCTGTTGATAGCACTTTTTGAGATGATCAGTCAACCAGTTTTTCATCTATTTAATATGTGCTTTAGTATTCTGTGCTTTTCAACAGAATATTCTGTGTTTTTCAAAACAAAATATCTTGTGGTAATAAGTTAACAACTCAACCCCCCCCCCCAAAAAAAAAAACCCAACAACAACCCCCGAATCAAGTGTATTACATCGATGCAGTTTTTGATCTCCGTCTAGGAATGTGTACCTACCATTTTGTTACTGATATACTTAAGCCATGACAGACAGAAAACTTAGAGCATTCAAAATGCAGTTTAAAATGATAGCATACACATGTATATTCCCATTAAACCAGTGTAAACCCAGAAGAAGCCTTAGAAAAATGTACCTGGCAGCATTAGGTACCATTTTATTTCATTTAATGTTATAACATTCTGTCTCTTTAGCTTCCCTTATCTGGTTTTTTTCATTATCGTAACATTATAATATATTGCTTGCCAGCTTGTTTCCCCTTTGCCATTTGTTATATACTGCTATATATTTTCCAGTTTCTGTCTTCACTTCACACCTGAATCAAGCTGAGCTTTTAGTTTATACTGACCTATTTTTTCATTTTGGAATGGCAGCCTTTGGGCTATCTAATAAACTCTTTTTAGAAACGAACTCCCACTTTCCATTGACTTCTTTCTGTGAAAATATCTCCTCCCAATCAGTTTCATTCATGATTTTCCTTAGTTTTGGAAATGTGGCCCTTTTGAAGCACCAAGTAATTCTATTTCCTCAGAGACTTTTTGGCTTGTTCAGGTTAAATCTAATCAGATCATAAACACTGGCTTCAAGGCAAACATCAGCTTCCAGTTCCATGATTTATTCATCTTTTTTTTAAATCAAAGCAGGGTCTAAAGAAAGCCCCTTATGCTAGATACAACACCCTGGTTATTAGAAAGTTCTCTCTAATGTTTTAGAAACTCTAGTGATGATAGATTACAGGTTGCATGAATGTCACCCAACTGAAGACTTCCATAACACTATTCTTCTTTCTGTGCATTAGACAGTGGCCTATGGAAGTACTCATCCTGTTCTCTAGTTTAATTTGGTGGTCTATACTGCCACTTCGGGTTTGAAAATTAGCACATTGGTTCATACACATTCAAGGGTACACAATTCTGAGTTATCACCAAACTCTAGAACACGTACTAGTGTCTTTTAAAAATCCTGAAGATACCAGACACTAAAGCAGAGACTCATCCATGCAATGCATGTGCTCTACCACTGTGCTATTTCCCCTTTGCTAAGGAGAGAACACAACTGTTGGTCAGTGGTTGCAGCACTCACCTGGGCTGTAGAAAACCCAGGCTCAGTGTCTTAACACTCTCCCCTAATAGTCAAATTGATATTGAATTCAATGGAAGGTTGATGATGCCTAAATATTTCTGAGAATCTGGGCCTATTTTGTGTCATTTGTACATGGGGGAATAATATGACCACCAACTTACTTTACAGAGGTTTTGTGAGGATAAAAACATTGCAAAAACTGTGAGGCATTCAGATATACTTGTGTTGAGGGCCACATAAGTAGGTATCCTCCTTTTAGAGACATAATATCATTTTTTCTAACTGAGGTACAGACTTTAATTAATTAACTCTTGTGGCATCCCTGACAAGGGAGGGAATTATCATCCTCATCCTCATTTCATCCATTAGGAAAGTAAGGCACAAAGGGTTTGTTCTGTGTAAGGTTATACACTAAGCAAACAGCAGAAGCAGGATTCAAAACGTGAATTTCCTGAGAGTCAGTTCAGTTCTTTGCTCAGAGAATCACTTTTCCCTCTGGGTACTGAGTATTCAGGCGTGGGGCATAACTGCACCTCAGTCTTACTTCCAGTCATGCTCTCAGAACACTCTATGGTGAAGAAGAAAAGTTTTGATTTACCAATCTCTCGATCTCTGTGCTCAGACGTCTAAATTCTTCTGAGGTTTGTTTTTCAAAGTCGGGGTGGTACTGGCGATTAGTGATTTTAAAGTTCGCAGTGTAATAGCGTTTCTCTTCTAAAGAGGAGGAGAGAAAAGGAAAGATTAATGCCTAATTACCTTTTGGAACCAAAAGGTTCTTGGTTCAGGTCCCATAGAAAGCCCAACTCCAAGTCATAAGTACATAAAATACAAATGTGTACGCACAGATATTCAGTAGATGGGAGTAAGCAGTCGTCTGTATCATTTAGGCAGCTGATCATTGTCCACTCTGCCTGGACCCCAGCACAGATAGCCAAATGACACAGAAACAGAAGAGACAGGGACTTTGAATTTATACTTCAGACAAGCTAGCATGCCTTAAAATGTTCTTAGGGAACTTTTAATTAAATTCTTAACTAATATGGGACAGAAAAAGGGTCCAAAGTGTGTCCTAATGGGTGTTCTCCACACTGGACTGACTTTTATTTTTGGAACATAACATGAAGAATGCAGTAGTGAATCCCCAGCAACACTTACAGCACTTTTGTGTGGGGATCACAAGACTGTTGCACCTACCGTTGCTCAGAAAAAACACAAGCAGACCAATGACAAGTGCCAGAAATGCCAATATTGAAAGAACGATAAGGGCTATCTTCCATGGCTCCAGACGCTTCATCTGTGTGTCCGAGTGGGTCAGCCTTGGATGGGGTGGGAAAAAAATAGATTTTTTAATACATAAGACAATGAGCATTGGGTCAAATGGTTTACATGCCTGCTGTCATGCAGATTTATACTGGCCAGAGATCTGAACCTAACAGAGTTACATAGATTTACATCAAGAATCTGATTCTTTCACCCTAGTAGAACTGTGATGATTCGCCTAGTCATTGGTTTAGCCTATTTACTCCCATGGAATTACATCAGCCAGCAATCAGGCCCAATCTTTTCCACTTTCCTCTCAGAAGAGGCATCAGTGATACTGTGCATCCAAGGCCAAAAGGGTACACAGAGCATTTCCACTCCCAGAGCTAGAGACAGTTCCAGGAGTCTGCATCTCTACTCACAGCAGTGTTCTAGATGATAATGCTGAACCCAAAGGGCAGACAGGAAAGGCTGGTTTCTGCAACAGAGTCTTCAGATCACTCATGCATATTAGTGACTTTTCTAATTAAATTTTTTAATTAAGTGCAACTTTGAATGGCATTTCCGCATGTGCCATGTTCACTCAGGTCTTTGGTCTTTTCCAAAATAATGTCCAACTGATTGCCATGGACATGACTACGTGACCTAAACTCAAGCAGGTATTGAGAAGACATAGGAAGGTCATGTGGCACAGCTGGAAGCTTTCAGTTAAATTCAGTTAGATCAGAGGGTTCACACCTATAACATGGGCTTGCTGATCTCATCACTGGAGGTCATAGGAGGTCCCAAAAATAGCAAAATAACTGCCTTTTACACCCTAGGGCTTAGAAACACATGAGGGGTTGCAGGGATGGTGTGTAGAGAACCTTGTCCACTTGTCCCATTTCATTCTAGTTAAGATACCAAATTGGGGTCCTCCTAATATAAAAGGCAGGTATATCTGGACAGGTACAAGGACCCCTTGTACCTCTACAAAATTGGGCCCAGGCAAGATTGCAGCTTTCCCAGTACCCTTAGTGATGCACATCACTGTGGGTAGCATATGGGGCCATGCCTCATCAGTGAACAAACACAACCAACTGCAGACAGAGGAGCAAGCAGCCCCAAGAAGGGAGTTGCAGCTACTTTAAAAAATCACTTTTAATGATTTTAATTGAGGAAGTGATGTTGTACCCACAGAGAGCAGAGGCCTTGTTTGGCATCCTCTTATGAAGGCACAGGATAATCCAGTTCATCAGCTTATCAAAAGTTCCCTTGTAGGGAGGTTTAAAGTGCCTGAGAAAAAAATGACTTCAGACATTTCAAAATTAATCCCACCCCAGAGAAAAAAAAATCATCCAAAAGAGGAAGCTAGTCACAGGATAATAGCCTTTGGAATTGATTAAGAGCAAGAGCAAATTGATCATTATTTAGCATTTGTTTCTATCTTTATTTACTTGTCTTGTGGTAGCCACTAGGCTCAGGACCCTGTTGTGCTATGTGATGTATAAATGCAGAACAAAAAGATTGTTCTTGCCCCAACAAGGCTAAGTGCAATGTTACCTGTGAAATTCCCTCCCTACCTAGTGCATTTCTGGCAGATAGACATAGCCTGCCATGCAGAAGGAGGTTCTACAGCAGTAGGCAAAGCCTTCTGCCTCCTCTCTGAATGGAATTACTCAGAGTATACCTTGTCAGAGATTACTGCAGGTTTGCAGATGAACACAAACTTTACTTAGTATTAAAAATAATACCCTAAACTAAAGCCACAGATTCTTCCAAAAAGAGACATCCCCACTCCACATGGTCAAAAGCTTTTTTTTTCTTGTTCCAAGGCCTCCCAGAGACAAATAACCCACTGAATGGAGCCTTGGCTCATCACTTATCATGAATTGCCTTGTCATATTAAAGCCAGTTGATCAAGTAACAACAGAGAATTCAAGCATGCAAGTAGATTGGCAAAGTAGCTGGACCTACACAAAGTATTCAAAATCCCTCTCAGGCTTTAAAATGAGGATACTTTTGGTTAAAATGGAAATCTAAAGGAAGGATTCTAGTATCTGATCCAGTAAATAGAGCTAGGCAAGTAGGGCACCAATCGCAGGTGCCAACTTAGAGGGGGAAGATGGTTGATTGCGCCTACTACCCAGAACACAAAAAATGCTGGTTATGCCTCTGATCAGATCACTGGATATACTGGTCTCAGTCCTGCAGGTAGGTAAGCTTCTATGTTCACATAAAACACCACTGACTTTAGTGAGACTCCAGTTTGCTTGTGTGCTGGGTCCAAGAGTTCTAAAGAATTCACTCAGCATTTATGAAGGTATAGCTCCTGGAGCGGCCACCGAGGACCAAAGAATCTCCCATCATATCCCCTTTTCTTAGGAGAAAATAGCAGAAGGCCTCTCGTTCAGATGAATTAGTTATCTGTGCATCTCAGCACGGCACTCACAAGCCCAGCCCCCGTGGTACTACAGCACATCAATTCCTCACAGACTTGAATGTATTTGCTTTCACAACATCCCTGGGAGGAAAGGAAGTGCTGCTACCTCATCCTACAAATGAAGCATGGATGTTACCAAAGTTCGTGTCAAGGGAGAGAACCAAACTTGAACCCTCCTAGTTCCTTCCTGGCACCCTAATCACTGCACTTGCCTTCCTCCTTCTTCATTCCCTCCCAGCATTTCGTCATGCTTCAGAAACCTAACTCAGGATTCCTTGACTTGCTCACCTGTTACTAAAAGCTCTAAATCTGGCTCCCTTTGTTTGCCTCAGAAACGTAACTGGAGAGCTCCTTGGTTGCTTCTTCCTCAAACAGAAGTATTACTCTAATTTATGGGGCTCCTTTATTCCCCAAGAATTCCCTCTTACTCAGGATACGCTCTGAATGTTAGATCAGAGTGTCATAACCCAATGATTTTTAGTGCCTCGGCACATTGGAATTTTCCCGCCACACGGAGCTTTCTTTGCACGGTGGATTTCTCAGCTGCAGAGAGAAAACCCCGGTGCAAAAGAGTTCCCGCCACACGTATGCAAATTAGTGTCCCACTATTGGTCAATTCTAAATTATTCCTACGTGGCGGCTAGCAGTTGGCTCGCTAGCCGTATAAAAGGTTAGAGCAGTTTCCGCCCAAGTTGGAGGACTCCACAACCATCTCGTGGGGAACTCTAAGTGCGCTGTAGAGCCTAGCAAACTCCGCGCGTGTCTTGGAGGAGGACATAGAGGCCTGATCAGCTTCTAGCCACTCCCCGTCATAGTGGAAAATTTGACGTACCCCCGTGTGAAGCGCTCGTGGAGTCGTACATCGACGACTCATCTCGGTTCGGTTCGGAAGAGATCTCACTTGTGTTTGTTTGTGTGCAACTGCAACTCAAGCAAGTTTCCTTCCTGCACTGTGACCATCGGCAGTGTAAGTAAAGCTTTCTTTGTAAAACCAATACGCTTCCGTGCCTAACTCTACTCCGTCGTGGAAAAACCCCACCTGACGGTCCGGGCTACTGGCCATAGCCTCAGACCACCCTTGGTCCCGACACAGAGAATAGCCTAGCATTTGCTCTTCAGAGCTACCTCCCTTAGCAGTAGCATAACTAGAGGTGAGAGAGAGGGTCACCTGTCCCAGGCACCAAGTTAGAAGGGATGGCAGAATTGTCCCCCACCCCTGCAGAGTCTGTGCCCAAGAAGCTTTTACTTGCCACTTTAAGAGTAACAAGCAGAGCACGCATCAGCAGCACCTCAGTCAGGGACTATTTAGGAATTCCTGGCATGGGTAAGACTGCTGCCCCTACCCTGCTCTCAGAACCATGCCCTCCCCTCTGGGTTTGCCTCAGGCATCAACTCTGCTTGTTACTCCACTGTCTCTTAGCTTGGGAAAGGCCCTTGGTCCTACATTGCATTAGTAGCATTGCGGCCTGAGCTTAGAGCATTACAGATATTATTTAGCAGAACACATTGTACTAGAGGAGCTGTTTTGGAAAGTAAACCCTGGAATGGGGAAAATGAAGTGAAGTCGACTTCCGCTGGGTAGAACAACATCCACATGTCAGAAAAGGTATGAAGCCAAGCCTCCCAGCCAACACTTAGGTGGCCTCCCAGGAGGGGGTGTCAGGAACTAGTAAGGCTACATGTAAAATCTCCACCCATAAGACAGGGAGCTTATGCAAGTGAAGAAACACAGAGGCACCTGATACAAATTAAAAAACAGAGTCAAGATTCTTGAATGGATAACTAGGGCAGAGGTTTAATGCTTCTACTAATGTTGTTGCCCTTAAGATTATTCTGCCGCCTTCCTCATTGAAAGATGGTTTCTCTCTTAAGTTAGGTCCAGAGTCTCTCCTGCAATGAGAGGTTCTTGAGAGGTGCAGGATGAGAAGGGTGAAAGTTACCCTTCTTCATTGATTCTGATTGAACTTTTGTTAGTGCCCACTTTGTGTAGAGACTGAAGCACTTTAGGGACTGCTCTATTTTATGTGAGTTATACATGGTCTCTTTGGGCTCATATGCCAGGTATGAAATGGAAAAGTGCCTACTCCCTGTTCCCTCCCTACTCCACACAGGAGCATGAGCCACATCACTTTATATCAGCAACAATTCATGGTCAGAGCTATGATTTTGAAAAGGGGGATGCAGACGGTGTGGTGCACCACTGCCTATAACACATTTTTCTCCAGTTAAAAAGAAACTAGAAGCTTCACTGATATCCTACTGAACTATCCTTTCTGATACAGACTATGTGGCTGCAGCTCAGTAGAGTATTTTGACAGGGTATAAGGCCTGTGCTAGTAAACCCTCCAGACACTATTGAAAATCTCCTCCATAGGGCTCCTCAGCCTACAACGAAGCATGTAAATACTGCCTGGGAACTCAGTATTTGTGAAATTCAAGCCATTCAATTAGAAAAATGGACTAAAGAGCCTAGCTTCAAGCTTTATGGTTTACAACTCTGGGCCGCATCTACTGCACTGGGGCTGAGCTATGCTATAATGTTCAGCCTCTTTCTAGAAGGCAAGGATAGACTGGGGAGATGCCTATGAACCCAGATGGCCAGCCACCTCAAGGGACCTGAGCAGCAGAGCTGTA